CCAACCTTATTTACTTTTATTTATTTTATTTATTTATTTTTTTGGTAGAGACAGAGTCTTACTTTATCACCCTCAGTAGAGTGTCGTGGCGTCACAGCTCACAGCAACCTCCAACTCCTGGGCTTAGGCTAAGGTGACCAGATTTTAACATTGGTAAAGCCAGACACCGAGGGGGGGGCGGGGCCTGACAGTACAAACTTTGATAATCAATTCTCAACAATTATTTGTTGTTATTAAAGTTTACCATTATAAAATTAACAAAAATAATATAAAACACATATCCTGGCAAAATAGCCACATGGCAGCCGAAAACCATATATTCCCGTCCTGTTCTCCCGTGTTCCCTAGCTTGTTGTGCATTCTTTCCAAAAATTGGGGCTTTTTAAAAATGCCACAGGATGCGGGACAAATTGTTTAAAATCGGGACTGTTCCGCCAAAAGCAGGACATCTAGTCACCTTACTCTGGGGTGGGGGTGGGGGGGCTACTTGTTTGTTCCAGACAGTTTGGCTCCTTCTGAGCTAATTGTCCTTGCCTAGAGCAAGGGAGGGAGCCAGTCTCCTTCTGATACCTTGCCCTGGAGGGGAGTAGGGAGTTTACATTAGCCTTTTCATTTCCTAATGAAGTTACATTAACCTCTTCATTCCCAAATGGAGTTACGTTAACCTTTTCAGCAGCCAGAAACTGTATATTCCTTTCCCATTCTCCCACTGTTCCCTAGCTTGTCATGCATTTTTTCCAAAAATCGGGACTACGCAGCGGGACACGGGACAAATTGTTAAAAATCGGGACTGTCTCACCAAAAGTGGGACATCTGGTCACCTTAGCTTAGGTGATTCTCTTGCCTCAGCCTCCCAAGTAGCCAGGACCACAGGTACCCACCACAATGCCCAGCTATTTTTTTGTTGCAGTTTGACCGGGGTCGGGTTTGAACCTGCCACCCTTGGTATATGGGGCCGGCACCCCACCCACTAAGCCACAGGCCCCACTCTTTTATTTTTATTCTTGTTTGAAACAAAGTCTCACTCTATTGCTCTGGATAGAGTGCTGTGGTGTCATAGCTCACAGAACCTCAAACACCTGGGCTCAAGCAGTTTTATTCCCTCAGCCTCTGGATTAGCTGGGACTACAGGCACCTGCCACAACACCCGGCTAAGTTTTTCTATTTTTAGTAGAGATGGGGTCTTGCTGTTGCTCAGGCTGGTCTCGAACCTGTGAGCTTAGGCAGTCCACCTGCCTCAGCCTCCCAAGTACTGGGATTACAGGCGTGAGCCACTGTGCCCAGCATATACATTTCTGTATTGTTTGAATTTATACCTTTTTACTATGAGCTTTTACTACTTTAATTGTAAAAGACATACTAAAATCTTTCTGTGCACACAGGCAGTGTTAGATCACATAGTAAGATGGAGATAAGAAGGATCAGCAGCTTTCTGTAAGCTAAGCAGTTTTATGTGTTAGAGCAGAGTGACTTGCTTAAGGAAGTGAGGAGAAAGCTATACATGTGAAAATCTTAGATAAGTTGGGTCTAATTAGTTACTTGAGCATCTTTTTTTTCTTTGAGACAAGGTAGAGTAGAACATAGTGGGGTCATCACAGCTCACTGCAACCTCCCAACTCGTGGGCTTAAATAATCCTCATGCCTCAGCCTCCCAAGTAGCTGAGATTACAGGAATGTGCCATCTTATGCCCTGCTAATTTTTCTATTTTTTGTAGAGAGAGGATCTTACTATTGCTAAAACTGATCTTGAGCGCCAGGCCTCAAAGGATCCTCCAATCTGGGCCTCTCAAACTACTAAGATTACAGGCATGAGACACCATGCTTGGCCTTTATTTCAGCGTCTTAATCATACTGCAAGTACTTAAAGTGTCTAAATGTCTTCTAATGAGAGAATTCGGAATAGGAGTCACACAGATGAAAATTCTATAACCAAGATGGATGTTTAAGCTTCATTATACTTCTATGTTTACTGATAGCACTTTAGCATTTAGTTCACATGTGATGTGAATAAGTAGCTTAAAGAATAAATGTTCTTTGTGCCAGTGACTATGAAGCTACTCTTCTATATCTACTCTGTCTGGAGAAAAATTTTGGTTTCTTCTGAGAATATGCTGTTGGAAGAATGATCAACATCTTCATTTGTTCTTTCTGAAAGAAATGAAACTTTCAAAACTACTGTATTACGTTAATTGACTCTATGAATATTTGAGTGTCTACTCTGTTGCCAACAGACTAGGTGAATAATAAACATGGGTACCTGCCTCATGGAATTTGTAGATAATGGAAAACAAAGATTAACTAGTTGCATATTCCTGCAAATAAATATGTGATTTCAAAATATCATAAATACTTTGTCAAAAATAAACAGGATGGCTCGGCACCTGTGGCTCAAGTGGCTAGGGTGCCAGCCACATAAACCTAAGGTGGCGCGTTCAAT